TTTAATGATAATAATGTTAACAAATCAGCTGTTGAAGATATAGATTTTTTTTTAAAAAGTTTTATTTTATTTATACAAAATTTCAATAAAAACATTAGAAAAATTATTAAATCAAAATGTAAGGCTTAATATTAAATTTAATATATTATTAATAGCAGGTTAAAAAAAAACTGAAAAAAAAAATCATAAGGTTGGAAGAGGATTGATTGTATAAGTATATAGGCTTTGATAAAACTTTTGAAAAAGTAAGAAATTGTTTTATATTATTCCAGTTTTATGTTAGTTATCATTAAAAAAACTGATATGCATTATATATTAAATCTAAAATCTAATATTATCATATTTTATTTTGATTTATTTTATTATATAATCTGATTAAAAATATAGTAAAAGAAACGCTATCTATATCAATATATCTAATATAAAAGAATTGTAAAAAATTACAACAGAATATGTATTGATAAAACATCCTGAATTTTTTGGTAAATTTACCAGAAAGCATTAGACATCTTTTTATAAAAGAAATATTTATTATGCTATAAGTTTGCATACTTAAATACAAATTTGATTAAGCTTTTATATAATATTATTATTTTTTGATTTTATTAATAGTTATTAAAATAACATCAGAACCTTTATGATACCTTAACATCCTTAACATCTTAAATTAAAGATATAATATTTTCAGTATTTGGATTATGATCTAAGAAAATCAAGTTCTAAGAAATTTTTGACTAAAATTAATATTTTATTACATTTTAATCTAAATGTAAAATGCAATTAAAATCTCAATTTTAATAAAAAATTCTCAGAACTTGATTTTTTTAGATCATAACCCATTTGGTAAGGCTTAACTATCACCAATTAATACAAATACAAATCTAATAAGATTCAAAATTGGAAAAAATCTAAAAAATTAAAAGAATATTAGGTTAAATTATTTGTTCTGATAAAGAAGAGTAAATGAACTACCTATCTAATTCATATTTTAGATAAAATGTAGAGATCTAAGGAGAAAACACACCTTTAGATGATCTGAATGAGTTGGTTTTTTCACTTATTAAAATTTGTAATATACTGCAGCTTGTCACACTTACACTCACTTTTATTTCTTCACTTCCTCCTACTTTATAGAAAAATTTATTCCTCTTTTACACTTACAATCACTAATTACAATTTGATCTCAATTTAGCACAACTATTATATAATATCCTTTTAAATCCAAAAATTGAATATATACAAATTTCTGAAACTATTATAAAATTGCAAATGTAAAAATATGGTAAGTTTTCATAATTTTACAAATATGCTAAATTTTTAAATTTAAAAATATTACTTGCAAATATGCTAAATATATTATTTTTTACTGGCTTCTACTGATATTATTATTTAAAAATAAGAGGAAGAATCATTCATTTTGTATTGCAAATTATTTCAAACTATGATTACTTATGTATATATATATATATTGATAAAAAATTGAGTAAATCATTAAAAAAGATTAATACTATCATCATAAAAGAAATTTTAATAGTTTTATCATAGATTTTTGACTTTATATCTGATATTTTTGCAAACTTCAATAATAATGCTACCTGTTTTGGTAAAATAAATATAATTGTAATAAGTAATTTTGCTTAATTACCGCTTATTACAATTCAACCTATATTTCATTCAATAACTTGAATTTTATTTTATTTCTTATTTTTAATAATTATATAATATTAATAATTTAATAATAAGTTCTATTAAATCTTACAAGAAGTTCAATAAATAATATGTCTACTAAATATGACAAATACTTAATCAAAAACACTTTGAATTTTAACACATCTAATAATTGATACATTTTTTAATACTACTATACACTATTAACATTGTTAATTTTAGAGAAAATGCTTAGCAAATTAATCGAATGATTTGTAATATTTTACCTATTTCTGAAGAAAAAATCCTTATATCTCAAACTGTAAATTTAGTAAATTTCACATTATAAGATACTTGCTTTTTGAAAATTCTTTTAAAAGCAAAACCAATCTATCTTTTTATAACCAGATACCTGTATTATATGTCTTAATAATCTTTGATTAAGCAAGATATATGTAATAAAACAGTTTAAATTATTATAAATCTAGATCTTATCAATTGCTCTATTCATATCATATTTTCTGTAAGAGATTTTATAATAAATATAACTATTTACAAGTAAATATATCACTTTTAATTATTTGAAAACAACTGTTATAGAATTCAATATCCACTACAAAACTGCTTTACTCTTACAGTTTATAAGACATAAGATTTAACTTTACCAAAAATTTTTCTTGTTTTGAATCAAAATATCTTTTTTGTAGGTTAAGTTTATATCACCCTTAACAGATGTTTTACCTTAGATAATATTGAAATTTCTCACCTTGATAGGTCAGCATTCATGACAGATCAGGATATGATCCTAGAATATTAAAGATTATAAGATATTTTACAATTAAATCCTTATAATTTTCAATTATAAAATACTCATTTTTTAAATAAAAATAGTTAAGTATTACATTATCTGATTGATACTTTTAAACATTCAAAATCATTTTATTAAATAAATTGTTTAATTAAAATCATAATTTGCTGATCACAATCTTCAATTCAATTATAAAAAAATATATCAGAAAAAACATGCATTATAAAATCTTCAAATCAATTATTTATGGTTTTTTATTATAAAAAATTAATCATCTCATCATGATCATCATTCTCTGTATGACAAATTACATGCATTGCACTTGTGTGATGCATTAAATATGTGGTGGGTACTGGGAAAAAAGAATAAAATCGCCATGTTAATTTATTAAAAAATGCCGCCATTTTTTGATTTGCATAATAATAAAATCATGTGATTAGGGATCAGATTCAAGTGGTTAATTTTATTTGTCTTACAAAAAAAATTATTGACCTATAAATATATAAATAAATAAACTTAAATTGTGAGCCAACATCAATATCTCGTGTTAATTACTCTCCAGTCGGATTGCTAAAAAAAACCGGTATTTAAACTTGATTTTGTATCATATTTTCATTTAATTTTTATTTGGTACATCAATTTTTATGAACATTTTCGATATTATCACAAAATTAAAAAATGCGCCATTATCACAGGATACTGTATAATCGAATAGTATTATAAATTTTTATTATATAAATAAATATGTTGTCATTACTGCGGGAGGTGCGAAAATTAAAGGATTGCCTGTTTAACATTTAAACTTGATAAAGTATAAGATCATCAACCTAAAATTATGAATTTCAGGAACTAAAAATAAGACTTTAAATGAGAAAAGAAATACGTTTTTAATAGAATTGATGTGTTTCGAAAATTCGAATAATTGAAACGAGTATTTATCAAAATAATTATTATTATTATGAAACCATATATAAGTCAAGTAGGCGCAAAAAATATATACTAGTTCGTATTAAGCAAAGTCTCATCATAACAAATGTGTATTACATAATCTTTAAAAATAAATCAATTTTGGCGTATCTCTGAATTCCTGAACATCACAAAAAATAATTGGTTTCGTCTCAATTTTTACTAACCAAATGAAAATAGATGCGATTTAAAAAGATAATATACCAAAATCGGAATTTGTCATAAAAATGGTTGAACATTTATAATGATTTTTTCAATATTTTTTCGAAGGCAATCAATGATGTTTGCATCTCTCAGATTGATGGATTGTGGCAAAAAATCTTTTTCTTTGCGGCTTTTGATGGGCATCCCGAAAAGTACAGTTATTTTTTGGATATGTTATTCAAATTTTCCCGCGTTTTATTAAAGTTTGCATGAATCACCCAAGTTCTAAACAAATTTGGTAAGATTAAATTCGGAATATCGTTGCACGGGCGTGTTACCGTTCCACAGAATGATGTGTCACGGTTACATAATTGTCACAAACTGGTTAGCGTTGGCTGCAAATTTTCTGATTTGCATAGGGGTAAAAAATAGTTACTAAATTTGGGCGTTATCTGGACCTTGTGACCTCGGGCTGAGAATCGTGCGACATTAGTGTTACATACGAATGTATATTACATGAATTTCGTGCGACATATTCATATGATGTTCTCCATTTTTGGAAAAAACCATTTTTTTTTCTTGTCTTGATTTTATTTGTTATGCATTTTGTTGGGGTTTGTGAGACAATTGTTTGACATTTTTGTAATTGTCCATATTTTTATTTTCGCGGTTTTCTTAAAAAAAATTCATTATAATACTATTGTTTTTTTTTTCAATAAAATGGTTCTAAAGTATAAAAAGGACATGTAAACGACTTTATATTAGATTTTCTTTTTCTTTTTTTTTTTTCATACGAATAAAATTTTAGCCGTGTATCACAAAAGAAAACGAATGTAAGCATTTTTTTTTTAAAAAAAAGAAAAGCTGGTGAAGTAGCCGGTAATTAAACTGGATTTCGGTCTTTCCTGCGCCACAAAATCGTTAGTTGTTGGTTCATGTTCATCTGATCAACAAAAGATTTTTTACAGTTCTAATCGAAAGAAAAGAAATTTAATTTTTTTTTTGTTACAATTTTTAGTGTACCGTCTGAGGGAAAGGACTTTTGTAAATATATATTATTCTAGAATTAATAAGTATGTAAAGTTCCGATGTTGTCGATCATTGAAGCAGTGATATTCTGATAATCAACGTGATGTCTTCGAGTAACGATTATCAATTTATCACGTGAACGTGATTACTTTTATATCATCGCTCCTGATGCGCAGTAAAAGTATGGAAACGTCATCGATTTTGATTTATAAGCAAATCATCGCTAATTAATTTCATCACTTTTATTTCTCTTTTTATATATATTTCTCTCTTCGATTTTCTTGATTTTCTTGATTTTTCTTTGGTCATACAACTTTTTTTTACTTAATAATCCGCGATTTCTGACCAAAAAAAAAGAAATCATTGTGTACATACATCCATAAAAATCAATATTAATATGAACAATATGAATATAAACAGTAATAGCTATGCATCTCCTGAACATATAGTAGAGCATGGATCATCGAATCAAAATATCAATAACATATTACAGACGCAACCTCCGAGATCCAATCCAACTAGGACGATCCCCGATTTTATCTCGGAACAAGGTGGTCAACCAACAAAAAGGCGAAAGAGCAGTGCGGCATTTGTATTGCCTCCTCAACCAGATCCATTCATGCAACCACAAGGACAACAATACTTTGTTCAACCTCAATCACAATCTCAATACACCTATATGTCATATCCACAATCCGTCCAAATGCGACAACAAATGTCGATGCCTTCATCACGAAACAATAATACAACCTTGTCTAGCCCTCACACTTCACGAACAATGGGATATCCTGATAACCTTGTATGTATCTTTATAAGTTTTATTCTTAATTGAATAATAATAATAATAATAATAATTGTGTTATATTTGGCCAAAAAAAATTTATCCCTTTTGATCATCCTGATACGAATGCACAGGTGGTATTACAAAATCCTGACCAAGTTATGTCAAGTCAAAATAATCAACACGGTAAGATTTAAAGGAGATAGATGCTTTATCGATTTGATTCGTAATGTGTTGTGAAAATTTACCTTGTTTTTAATTCTATATATTCAGTTCAGAATCAAATGGTATCACCACCAATTAGCTATACAAATCAGATGAATCATATGCAGATAAGTAATCAACAGCAGCAACAGCAGCAACAACAACAATTATCACAACAATTGCTGCATGGAAATAATCAAGGGCAAATTCAGCAAATTAACTTGAATTTGGATTTGTATCCTCGGCCTTCACAAATTGCCAATGTTTTTTATCAACCAATGCAGACTATTCAACAACCATCAGAAATATATCTTAGCGACTTATCTACACATACACATACACCTACACCTACTCCTACTCCTTTGCCTACGCCTACCCCCATGTTATCACAAGAATATATCATACAACGATTAGAAATTATCAAGGCAGAAATAACAAATAAAGATCTATATCATTCTCATTGTGATGAACTTCTTAAGTATTTGCAAACTGACATTGCATATTCTGAACATTGTCAAGATAGTTTTTTTCAGTGCTTAAAGGTACACATTATTTATAGTATAAACTGACACGTTTTATACATCTATTAATTTTTCGAGTTTAACATTATTAGAACATAAAAAGCAAATTCGGGTCGTCTCTTATGGAAATAGGATTATCAGTATTCAATGCTGCTTTAAATAATATCCATCGATTTACAATTACAACACATCAAAGTTTGGATCTTTCATAAATACTATATTAATTTTATTTTGTGTAGAATCTTACATTTAACTAAATTATAAAACTGGTTTATAATTTTTTTTTTTAGATAAAATTAGACAATGGGCTGATGAACTCAACAAATCCTCTAATGCTGCTCCTCAACATTTCACGTCAAATAATGTAAGCCAATTGGTCCGACCAATTGCGAGGCTGCAACAACAACAACAGCAGCCGCCTTCACCATCACCGCTGCCGCAACAACAACAACAGCAGCAAATAACTCAGCCAAGAATTGAACACAGACAGATTTCAGATGTTGAAAAGGCAAATGCAAATTGGGTATCCAGAATAGTAGATCGAGCTTGGGGCCATGTTATGCTTCCTTATGAATCACTGATAGCTAATCAACATCAGGAACAGCAGGAATTCATAAATTCCTTTTATATTCCCCACGACAAATTCGAAAGGATATGGAAGTTAGTAATTACATATATCTATTTTTTTTTAGTAATATATATATATATATATTTTTTAATTTACTAAATAAGGTTTTCTTTATGCTTTTAAAATCCTCAAAGATTAGATACGGCTTTTCCAGCAACCCTCATACACCCAAACAAATTACCACTTACATACCGATTAATATCGCGTAAACCAATTAATATAGATGATGATAACAAGTGTGACTGGCCCCCGGAGGAAGCGATGTTTAAAGTACAAATCAACGATTTGGAAGTTAAATTGCATAGAGTATGTTTTATATAGATATTTATCGACTAAAAATTATATCTATGTTGTATTATTATTTATTTTTATTAATTTTTTTTTTTAAAAAAAAAGAAACAAAGAATTCCTATTAAAAATAATCAATATTCATTTGTCGGAGTTGACAAAGCTGTCGATATTGCCCAATATTTAGTTGCAGGAGTAAACAGGATTAAAGTTACGCAGTGTATGTGTGAAACTTGTCGCCAGCAACTTTGTGTAAGTTCTTTTTTTAACCAAGTTTATTTATTATAGCTTAACATTATAACCTTAATCTTTATTATAGGAACATATATTGTCGATAGAAATTTTATTGAAGGAAACGGAAGAAATAGTGCTTCGCAATGCACGAAGCCAAATACTAACTAAAGAGCACGGAATGGACATTGGTTGGTTATCTCAAAATTATAATTTTATTATTTTCATCATCAAATAAATTAACATTCCTTGATAATTAGTTAAACGACTAATTTCTGGTCCAAGCGCTTCAATTAATACACAGTCACCGATCAGTTCAACTTCATCTCCAGGTCAGAACAATATTACTATGATTATTGATGATGATGATTGTGATATCACAGTTAACAAAATGAAAGTTAGCTTGCGATGTCCAATAAGTTTGCTGAGAATAGCTGAACCTGCGAAAGGACAAAATTGTCTCCACATTGGTGTAAGTAATAATTAAGATTCATTAATTACACGAGAAATATTGACAATTCTTTTTATTCATTAGTGTTTTGACTTGGAAACTTATGTCAGTGTAAACAAGAAAAATTGCAAGTGGAGATGTCCCGAGTGCAAGTAAGCGTTCAATAAATGATCGTTTTATTTATGACTATTTTGATTATTAATATGTTTGCTCAACAGTGACCGGGTAACGTCGGAAACTTTGCGAATCGATAAATATTTCAAAAAATTACTAAACGAAATACCGGAGTAAGTAATTTACAATTAATTTAATATTTTATTTAACATGAGAACTATAATTTTGATAATTAATAATATTATTTTAATTAGAAATGTTAATACAGTCGAGCTAGATTCTAGTGGCAGTTGGACAGTCGTGGGACAAGATGATTGCGATGGTGAATCAACCGACGATGATGATATGCAAGTTGATTCGGCTTCTAAGAAATCATCAATTTCTGCTCCTAACGCAATAATAATATTAGACGATGATGACGAAGATGAACCAGAGCCGTTTAATAATCAACCGGAAGTTCTTTCTATGCAGAACAATAATATACTAACGTATGATCAACTTCCCCCAATTATACGTCAAACGTCCACGCCATATATACCACCCATAAGACAATCAAATATTCAAATGAACGATCAATCACAATTAACGAATTCTATTATCATGCAATCACCACCTAATTCTGCAAGTTTAGCATCACCCAATACAACGAATAATTATATCCAATTATCGCAATTATCAGCTGATCATACTACAAATGTGGATCCGATACCGTTAATTTTTAATAATAGCAATAAAAATAAGAAAAGGTCGAAACGAAAGTCTCGGCGTAAGGATACGGAGGCGGATACACAAGATAGAGGTAATTCTTCTACAAAAGATGATCATAATAATAATAATAATGAAGATAATTCTAGTAAGTCAAATTGGTTACAAGTTGCGGGAATACAAACTTTACGATCATCACCACAAGACTCTGTTAATAAAACAGCTACACAAGTTGCAAGTCCAATATCTCCTCCTATAAGTAATTTTATCGTTCCTAATCTTTCTCAGAATGAGGAATGGGAAACTGAAGATGAACAAGAGGAGGAAGTTTTGAATTCGTTACATTCGTTTAAAAGGATATGATTAATAATTAGAATTTGATTTAATTAATGGTCTTGTTCAGGAAAAAAAAATCTAGTGATTTTGATTTATAATGCACAAAAAAAAAAAAAAAAAATTATCTACAAAAAAGTTTAATAAATAATAATAAAAAATATTATATAGCAGGTATATTTATCAACAATTTTTTTTTTGTTTTGTTTTGTTAACATTTTAGTTCTTAAGCTTATTTCCCTTTATTTTATTTTATTTAATTTATTTTGGAAATTATAGATGTGTATTTTTAGTTTACTAAAATTATTTTTCCATGTAGTTTCATAGACGATGTATATACCATATAAAATCAACTAGTTGCATTTCAAAAGTAAAGTTTTGTAATATATTCATTTTAATTATAATTAATATTAATATTAAAAGAATTGAATAACTGAATGTTTAAATAATATCCATTCATAATGGCATATATTTATATAATTTACTTTTCATTGAACTTTCGAAATATCGTTAGAGCTGCGGTTAGACGCGATTTTCGTTGATTTTAAGCGTATGAGCACGACTCTGAGCCTTTTTATTTATGATGCGATAATGTATCTTAAATCTTTATTCAATGAAATCAACACATCATAAATTATTATTATTAACAAACCCATCTAAATTAATTCCTATTTGTTTTTTCTTCTTTTTATGGTAAAAATATATTTAAAGAATTCATATATATATTGTAAAATATAAATATAAATATTATAATAATAAAAAATTAATAGAATTAGATGATATTTATTTGTTGTAAAATACTCAGTTGAAAAAAAAAGTATTTAAAAATAATATATAAATATACTAATAATACAAAGAAATTTTGAAAAAAATAAAGAATATGATGAAAAAAAGTTAGCTAAAAAATTACTTTTATATAATAATCTTTAATCAATAAAAAATTTTTTTATATTTTTATATTAGTTTCTTTTCTTAATAAATAAAATTATAATTAAATTTAAAAAATAATAAAAGATTAACTTGTAATTTTATAATTAATAAAATAATTCTTTAATAATTATATACTAATAAAGGCAATTTTGTATAATAAATTAATATATTATTTTATGAATTAAATTGATTAGCCATTCTTCAAATTATTGTTTTATTTAACATATTAATTTTACTATATAAACAATTTTAATTTTTTTTATATCTACTCATTTAATATTAAAAAAAATTGTGGCATTTTGGTAAATAATTTCAAATTGTTTTTTACTTAAGTGATTTTAAGATTTATCAAAAATTATGATTAAACAAAATATATATAATAAAATAAATATATTATTCAGTTAAGAAAATTTTAATAAAAATTAAGTATGTTTAAAACAATAAAAGAATACTATAATAAAATACTTTGATTTAAAAAGTTAAAAAATAATGATTTATAAAAAAAAACATTGTATTCTTAATTATTTTTATAAATATGCAATATTGTGAAATTTATTACTTAATTACATATTATTATCAGTTAAAAATTCACTATTAAAAAGTTGATCTACAAAAAATTATCAAGCAATCTACAGAAGTTACTAAAATTAATTTTATGTTAATTACAAATTAGAAAATCTGCATAATTCTAGATCTATAGCATTCTTAGGATTTATTAGATCTACATGATCATTATAATTCATTGGATTTTCCTAATTCTTTATATTTTCATTATTTTAATTATTATCATTATCTTTATTATTTTTATTATTATTATTATCTCTACTATAACTATTATCTTTATTATTATTATTATTATTATTATTATTATATTAGTACTTGTAGTTACAAATGTAATTAGTTTATAGTGTAACAATTAATTAGTCATAAAAAATTAATTTTGTATAAATAGAATAGCTTTTTGCTCAAGTTGTAAATTAATTCTCTTGTAAGTTCTTAAACACTTGTGAGTTTTAAGTAATAAATAAAAAAATCAACTTTGAAAATAATTACTTTTTTCTTCCACGTGTCTATGATCTAGAATTTGATTGTAAACTACTACACTAACTTACTTTTAAATTAGTCACTTAGAATAATAAAATTCTCTATGTTTTTTTCTAAATCCCTAAACCTTTAAATTTATAAAGTCAAATGAAGTAATTCTAAGGAATTCTGGATACCTATAAGATATGAAATTTCCTAAGGTTGTAAAATCTGATAATAAGAAACTTACTTGTTGCAGTAAAATAACTTAGCAAAATACGTATGATAGAAAGAGAATTCTTTCTGGTAATAATATATAAATTGTAAAATTATAATTTTATTATTTAATTACATATATTAATTTTATTAATTTGCAATTTATTTAATTTATAATATTTTTATATATAAATATTTTATTATTATATTAAAAATGATATATTTTCTATATTTTAAACTTATTTTAATAGTAAATAACTTATATTATAATATTAAAAATACTATAAATATTATTATTTTAAATAAATAAAATTAAGTTATAAAATAACATTTAATTGTAATTTATGAAAAATAGAAAGATCAATATAATATTTATATAATAATAAATAGTAATAATAATAATAATAAAATTTGTTAATATCAAGAATATCTATCTAACTTTTCTTAATCTAAATATAAATAAACAACCTAATTTTGATGTAAAATTAGTTTCTATTGATCAAATAGTGTTTCAATTGCATTATATAGCAAACTTTAGAGAATAATGGATTATGAGAAGTGATAGCAAATTAGAAGAAGGCATATTTTTTTATCTTATTTATGTAAGTTAAGAAACTATTATAGAATAAAATAATAGATACTTTTAAATAGGAAAATAAAAATAATAAAATATTACCAAAATATAAGTATTAATCTAACGTTAAATTTAGTGATGTTAAAACAGCATCAAGTTATGCTATAAAAAGTTTATGCTAGCAAATTTTTTCTAATTTAAAGACAAAATTTTTGGACCACTAGTTTTAGGTTAAGATAATAATAAATTATTAAAAGCTTTACTAGAAAATATTCATTTTCGAGTATTTGCTATTAAGGTTGATGATATTTTAATATATATTACAAATATTAGTATTTGTGAACAAAAAAAAGATAACATAAAATTATACTGCATCATTTATTAGAGAATATAAAAAAAAATAAGCTTTATATATTCAAAAAAAATTTAACCTGACACTAGTCGAAATCATTTCATTCAGTACTAATACCATTCGGTTAACATTCAGCTGATTCGGACATATGATTTGGCAAAATTTAGCTTAAGTTACAAAAATCGATAGTTATTTGTTACATCATACATAATTTAGCATTATTTTGGTATTAGATCTTTCGTCAAACATTTAGCCGATTCGGTCATATGATTCAGAAAAAATTTGGCTTAAGTTATAAAAATTAATAGTAATTTGTTACATCACACATAATTTAGCATTATTTTGGTATTAAAACTTTTCGGTTATAATAATCAGCAAAATTTCAGTTAGACTCAAGATTTGGCAACAAATCAACTATATCTCACTGGTCGAAATCTGTTGAGCCAATTTTTGCGAAAATTATAAAAACATTCTAAGAGTAATCATTCTAAAGAGATGATATTTTCATCCCTAAAAGAGATGATAGAAATCGTCTTTAAAGGAACGATACATTCGTTTCAAAAGAAACGATAAAAATTGTTTCTAAAGGAATGATACATCATCGTTCTGAAAAAATGATTTTTTTATAGTTCTTTTAGAATGATACTTCATCATTCTGAAAGAACAATGTTTTTTTTATCATTCTTTTGGAACAATACTTCATCATTCCGAAAGAACAATGTTTTTTTATTGTTCTTTTGGAATGATACTTCATCGTTCTGAAAGAATGATGTTTTTTATCATTCTTTTGAAACGATACTTCATTATTCTAAAAGAACAATATTTTTTTTTATTGTTTCTTTAGAATGATTTTTTATATCATTCTTAAGGAATAATTGAATTATCGTTCCTTTCGAATGATATTTTATATTGTTCTTAAGGAACAAATGTATCATTCCTTTTGAATGATTTTCTATATTATTCTTAAGGAACGAATGTATCATTTCTTTTGGGATGATTTCTATCATCACTTTGGGATGATTGTTTGTTTCTTTCGAACAATTTTTGTTATTGTTCTTAAGGAACGATCAAACTATCATTCCTTTAGAACAATTTTCTATATCATTCTTAAGGAATGATACAATAATTGTTCCTTTAGAACAATTTTTTCATCGTTCTATTGGAACGATACTTCATCATTCCTTTTGAATGATTTTCTATATTGTTCTTAAGAAATGATTGAATTATTATTCCTTTCGAATGATTTTCTTTATCATTTTATTAAAATGATACTTCATTATTCCTTTCGAATGATTTTCTATATCATTCTTAAGGAATGATCAAATTATTGTTCCTTTCAAATGATTTTTTATATCTTTCTTAAGGAACGATCAAATTATTGTTCCTTTCAAACGATTTTGTCATTGTTCAGTTAATTTTGTAATTAGATAATGCAAAATCATCCATTTGTAACATTTATGATAAATAGTCTAAATTTTGGATTAATTGAAATTTTAGTTTAGTTTATAAAACTGATTAACTTTTGGAATATTTCGAAAAATTTTATTTATTTATTTTTTTTTTCAGAAATTTAACCTTTTCCTTTCTTTTTTCTTGTTTTTTTAGGAAATTCTTATTTTGGAATTAAGGTAAACAAATCGGAAGTGACTTTTAGATGGTTTTTAACTCTTTTTTTAGGAAATTTCTCTTTTCAAAACTAAGGTAAGCCTTTCAGAAGGTACTTTTGGATGGTTTTTAACCTTTTTTCTTTATTTTTTCTTTACTTCTTTAGGAATATATTAAGGTAAGCCTTTCGGAAGTGGTATTTTAGTGGGTTTCTTACTGTTTTCTTTATTTTTTCTTTATTTTTTTTTTTAGGAATACATTAAGGTAAGCCTTTTAGAGATAGTATTTTGGTGGGTTTCTAACTGATTTCTTTATTTTTCTCATCTTTAAAAAATCAAATGTATTTTTTTGAATAAAATATAATATAATATATATTCTTTTTGAGTAATTTATTATGTAAT